GCCAGGGAGGAGGCACCTGGAGCTCTGCCCTTACAGCCACAGCAGGCGCTGGCCCAGTAACTCTGACACTCCCTAAATGTATTGGGTTTGGTACTTGCCAATGCAGAATTAAATGAATAAACAATTAGTTTTACAAACGTTTTCTGCCACGCAACACCTATAATACTCTCCAGGGGGCATTTCTACTGTCCATCTTTGCCACCTGATGGGACCTGCCCCTCCCTGTATTCATAATTTGGATGTTTGAGGTGTGATTTATTTAAAAATGAAAGCGAAGGTGAAATGAAGCACCATTTACCTTGCTCTTTTGGAGCACACTGACTTTTAAAGAGTCAAATGTTGAAGCTGTACGGGCTTCTGGTGCTGGTCCAGCAAGAGCTGAAATTGAAGAACAAAACAAACACCTGCTACAACAAAACGGGGTAAGAATGGAAGCACTATGAGCTGTTTGGCCTTTACTATCATAATACCTGACAGTAGATTCACAACTTCATTACAAAATCTTATTATCATAGGCCTTTTATAGCTTCTCTATCATTAAATTTAAGGCATATTCAATATTTTATTGATCCAAACAGGTTAAACTTCCAAAAAGCAATGAAGACAATGAATATTTTATTTAACACAGAACCTTACCTCCTATGCTATGGATTAGCTAGAATCCATTCATAATCCTTATTGTTCCTTTTATTGTCTTTGCTGCTACACCGTATACATTTAGTCTTTGCTACTATTTACATGTGAGTGCAATCTGAGCTCTTATCTCAGATACCCTGTTAGCTGACTTGAAAATCCTGTTTCTCCTATGGATTAAACTTGTCAGCACTTAGTAGGCTTTGTAGCCCACAGAATATCTTCCTATTCATCTCACATACGTGTTTATGTTTTCCAAAGCTGACCTAGTCGCTTCTGCTTGTTGAAACCCTCTGAAACCCTCGGAAAACTGGACCACCCAAATCCATTACAGTGTTGCTAGGAAGGTCACTAAACCCACCTTGTCCCAGCAGGTAACAACACATTCCCTGCTACTGTGCCATCCTCTTGCTCTTTACAAAACTGTTCCTAAGGTTTAATCGGAATTTCCATAACTGCTGCTCATCCTACACGAAGGGTCACAGAAACCAGGGTGCCCATACCCTGCCGCAGGCCCTTTTTTGAAGGACAATGTAACAGTTCAACTTGACTCTTCACTACTTAATCTCGAAAATAAGTTTTCTTTAAAACAGTGTGGAAAGCTCCACTCGAAAAGTAAAAAACAAAACAAACCACCAAACCTATTATTTTGGGTACATAATTCAAAGTTGTAAACTCCCTGCTTTATACTCCCTATCAACAACAGCTGTATAAAACCCTGTGTGTATGTACTACTGGCAGGTGATTTAACAGCCCCATGGAAAGAATGCCAAAGGAGAGAGATGAAAGCTTTAATAAAGACTTACTTCCTAAGGCAGCACTTGGATCTATGAAAAGTAACTTAAAAACAAAAATCCTTGAATTTCTGTAATATTTTTTAATACTTGTGATTGTTAAATGGGAATCTGAGCACAATTCCCAGCACTCCCCTACGCTCCCTGGCGCATCCAGGGCCCCCAAGCTGCAGAACTGTCTGGGCTGCCTGAGTAGCTCCCGGAAAAAGCAGGGAACAGGGCTTGGCACATTGGCCTGGCACATTCCTGCGCTTTGTCATTTACGTTTCAGCCATCCTCCATGATGTCCCCCTGGTAATTCCAATTCTGGATTGTTTTGAATACCTTCACACATCTCTGATGCAAAAATCTAAGACAAACACAGAGTTTGAGGCAGCTTTGAGGCCCTTGCTCTGCTGCTGGCGCTCACTCTGGTTTACCCGTTCAAGCTGTGGCACGTTGGCATAAGTTCATTCCAGCACAAGCACAATTATAAACTGCATCCCCAAACATCTCTGATCAACCCATCAAAAAGGTTTGAGTTTACCAAGCCCTACATCAAGCACCAAAGCGATAACCAGTTTGTTACAGCCCATCTGCAGCGAGTTTCAGCAGGCTAAGCGCTCTGCAAACGACCAGACCAAATAATGTATAGATTAAACAGTTTTCATCTATCATTTAAAGCTTGTCACTGAACCCAGATTTTACGTCACTCTCCCAATACCTTGCAGTCCTTGGCACATGTGAAGCATTTTCTTAACTAATGCAAGAAATCACATTAGTTGCGAATTCATATCATACATGAATTCATGTTTCTTTCATTCTATGAAGCTGAAGATTACATAAAGGCACTTTTATTTTTTGATAATTATGCTTGTGTTTGATCTCGACTAATTTTAGACTTCATCTCTCCAGTTTTAAGCATCTGAACCAAGTTCCCAGCCTATGCTTACGCTGAAGGTTAAGTGCAGACAACTTAAGTTGGAAATTCTGAGGTCAATAAGATTCTTCGCTACATGATTATGTTCTGGAATGAGCTACAGGCACCAGCACCAAAACACTCTGAAACCCAACCCAGGAGTCTTGCTCCTATATTTAACTGTTCTGGGAGTACGTAGCTAAAATAAGAGGCCTTGGCAAAGAGCAGAGGGAATCTGCTGGCAGGAGGGGCAGAGTGCCAGGAATAGGGCCTTCAACAGCAAAAAATCAAAGCAGTTTTTTTTTTCTTTTTCCTTAAGCTTGTTTTTTATCAACTACAAAAAACAATGTAGCAACTATATCAAAAAAGCCAAGAAGTGGACGTTTTCTTGGCGTTTGAAGCTGGCTTTGCTTTGCAACTGCTGCACAGGCTGCTCGTGAGGGAACAGTGACACCAGGTGGACTAGCACCGTCCTCCCACAAACAGCTCCCCAGTTTCTCCAGGTCCCTCTCCGCACGTGAAGAATTTCTGCCCGTCTCTGCACATGACCACAGCGAGAGCCCCGCTCCCTCTCTCCGGCGGCTGCGCCATCCCAACACAGGGTTTCCTTTGGGATTAAGGGACTGCCTTATCGAGCAGGTTTCGGTCACTGTAAGGGAAAGTGCCTGAGGTCCCCCTTTGCCCCTGGCAAAGCCCCTGCTGGCCACAGCCAATCGCCTCCCAACCAGCAACTGCTGGGAGAAAGAAAAGAGAATCACAGGAAAATTCCCTTGGCTACTTCTTTCCACCCTTTCCAAGCAGGAAAATGAGTGTTTGGGCCCAAAGTCTGCAAGATGCCCTATTTAGCTTCCCGCTGTAAGTGCCTTGTTTCTGAAAGAACAAGACAGGAGCTGTTTTGAAGGACAAGAGCTCTTCTCTGCTGAAACCCAATCTCTTTAGCTGGCTGCATCACCTTTTTAATGCTCTGCAAAGCACCTTCTGCTTGGTCCAGCTCGGGACACGCTCCCTTCAAAGGGAAGCGGCCAGCACTGCTTCCCAGAGCCCTCCTGGCTCCACGCAGGTTCCCCCACACCACTCACCCACTTGGTGCTTGTGTCTCACAGCCCCGCGTGGGCCCTGTCCACACATCACTGAGCAGCTCCGGTTCCCGCATCCCAAGGCAACTTCCGTGGGGTACAAGAAGGTGCTTTCTCTTTATGCCGTGGGCTCTTAATTTACAAAATAGATTTTTGTCACAATTAAAGTGGCAACCTTTTTATCTGTTGAGAATTAAGTACCTGTTGTCAAATTACTTATCCAGGGTCACTGAGAAGAATTTGGCAAACATTTCAGTTGCTTTTATACCATCAAAGCCTCTTCAGGCTCCCAAGCATTTAAATGTTAAAGGGACATTGTAAACTTGAAGACCTAAAATTAGAACTTCATTTGGTTTCAAGTGCAGAGTTTATCCACTCATCTGAGCGCTGTCACTACATGTTACCAGCCAGCAAACAAATGCACAAACAGCTCAGCAGGAGGCTTGGATTTATGACTAGCATCTTTGGTGTGAGAGTTTTCCAGACAAGTCCCTTGCTGAAAGATGCTTGGAAGTTAATATAGATGGGTAATAAACCATGTGGGAGTGAGAGAAGGGGAAGGGAGAGGCACAGAGCAAACGCAGAAGGACAGGACAGCAGCACATCTGAGCTTGCTGGGCTGTACACCCAAGGAAAGCAGCAGAGAAGAAGGCAGAGGGCTGATCAAAGCAGCATGGTGCAAAATGAGCTTCTATTCCAGCTCCCCCTTCACCTCCCACCAAGAGGCAGATTGTTCATAGCAAACAAGACAAGATAAGGGATTGATTGCTCTCAGCCGCCAGGAAAAACACAGCGCAAAACACAGCCCACCCAGGCGCATTATGAATGGGCTACAAATTAGAGCTCTTGAAAGATTTCCACAGATATGGTCCAAAGGAGGCAGTAGGACCAAGTTTTATCTCTATCTCCTCAGCATTACCCCCACCAGAGCATAATAAAATTTACTGTAGTGATAATTCAGGTTAGCCATGCAGCTGTATTCTCAGGGATTTTTTTGAGCATTGTTTTATGCCGTTTCTATACTGAACTAAGTTAGCAGGATGAGATAAATTACACTTCCAGTTCTCAGCAGCTTTATGGATTTTTCTTAACTGCTTTTCTACATAGTAAAATGTATGACAAAGTTTCTGAGAAGAAGCAAAAAAGCTCAGCATGACAAATACAGTGAGAAACACTCCTAAGGATGCCTGAGCTGCTAACTCACCTGCCAACTCCAAGAGAAGAGTCAGCTGCATCAAAATTACCTTCCAAATTTCCCTTTTTCCCATTAAAAATGGATGATTATAGGACAGTTAGAAATGAACAAAAACCACCCTGAACTTAACTCATCTTTTATAATCAAAAATTCACTTGCCTCTTATGGACACTGTCTGGGCTCAAACACCAGTAACAGAAGTAAGGCTGGAAGACAAGTCACACTTGTTCAGAAATGCTTAGTCAACAGTTGAAATTAAAGATTAAGGCAGAATTTCCCTTACCTAGCGATATCCAGCCCACCGCCAAGGCCTTGATTGTTTCTTAATTTTCATTTAGACCTTAAAAAGCTGTCTAGTGCTGTCAAACTCAGAAAGAGGTTCCTGACACCTCATCAGCAGGTACTAGAGAGAAATAGTGCAGTGAATTTTCAGCCTTATATATTTCTTGAAACGTTCTGTGAACACACAAGTAGTGACAGATGAACTCAGTTAAGTATTCTCATTTTATGAATTACACAGAGGAATCAATAATATCTCTGTAACCAAATCCTACACATCTCTTAATGAATTTACCAATTTTACAAGTATTCACTTCTTTCACATATGCCAGCTAATGTTTAACTCTTTAGAAGAGTCTGTTAAATATAAAATTACATAAACTCTTAGCAGTACTTCTGTCATACCACCTTTGCATAGTGAAGTGAACTTAGAGCTGATTGATATCAATACTCTACGTGCAGCTATACCAATGTGTTCTACTTGGATTTACAGTAGACAGTAATTTACTTTAACAGATAACTAATGGACAAAAAATAGTTTTATAGTTTTTTTAATATCTCATATCTGTTATATTAATTAGAGGTTATGCACACTAAAATATTCATTACAGTCAACAGAAGTTACCAGTCTTTCTGATTTAGGGTGCTGCACCTTCAGTCAGCTTACAGGAAAGCTTTTTGTGCACAGAACATGTACATTTGGAGGTGTTTTTTAGCAAATGAACAGAAGATGCATGCTTGAGGTTCCCTCAAATATCATAATGGGGAATAATCCAGCATCTTCACATAATACTTGAAACCACTGTGCTTAAAAAAAAAAAAAATCAAGACAGGAAAAATCTGCCTCACAGGTGAAGAAACAAAGTAATAAAGAGTAGGTAAGATACTACCTACAACTGAAGCAGTTAAAGGAAAGAAGCTTCCAGGGAGATGCGAGGAAGCTGTGGAACTTGCACTGCAATGCCTGCTCCAGGGATTTAACTTCAACTGCTTCTTCTGGAAGATTATATATAATCATTCAGCAACATGATTTAGTGGTATAATGGCATCCATCACATTATTTTCCAAGTTCAGCATCTAACAATTACAGTTTGTAATGTTTAGTTATGCATTGGGTATTTCTGCCTCCCCACACGGACGTTGGCTGTATGTACTAATGGCCTGTTCTTATTCTGTCATCATACTTGCTCCCTCCCCACCAGTGGCGTCCTGGGATATATGGAGATCCTCGAGCATCTCAGCCAGACTGATGCGTGGGGGCCCATCGTCATCTGTGTCGCTCTCCACTGGAACATCCGCATCTACGAAACAGCAACAAACTGAGAAAACAGCACATACCCCTGCAAAAAAACCACCCAGACCCCAAACTGCCTCCTCAAACCCCACTAGAAAGAACAAAGCTTGTCTACGGGAAGGATACTGAATAAATTATCAAGCCCTTCACCCTGCAGGGATTTTTGTTTGTTGTTGCTGACGGCTTTTTTAGGGTGGAGGGTTTCAAAATATCCTTTTATCTCACGTGTTAAATGCAAACAAATGCACAAAACCACCTATCAACATCCATTCAGTGTGTGCAAAATACAGAATATCCCATAGTTTTAACTTTCAGCATTTCTCTAAGCATTAGCACTTGGAAGAATTCAAACACAGCATTTCAATATAAATATTTTAACTGAAATGGTCATGAGCTAATTATACACCACTAAATGATTAAAAAGGCCTTACTTCTATAAATGTTGACATTCTTCCTTATGGCTTCATCTTCTTCAAGATCTTCAAGGAAGTCCTGGTATTGTCTGTAAAAAAAAAGCTTAATGCAATTAATCACTTTTTTTTTTTTGGGGGGGGGGGGGATGTATGTAAATTTATCTACTGATTCATCAGGGAACTTCAAAGCCCATAAAAACCAAAGAGCACAAGGCTCCAAGAAAGGACTGCAGAATTAAACCCATTAGATATGCATTCAGACTGAAATGCCTATATTTTCAAAAACAATTCTTTCAGTTTAATTATTAGGACCTATTAGTTTCTAAGGAATATTTAAATTACCTGCCCTCATTTAACACTAATTGCCTCATTTTTTCTGCTCTGTTGAGTGTTATTTAGAATTAATCAGCTGTTGCTGCATCAGCTTTGTCCCTGAAGGTACCATCCATGGAAACCCTTCTCTGTTTTCACAAAAACGTCCCTTTAGCCAAATCAATGCCAACTGTAAACAAAAGACAAAAAGCTTCTGATACTAATAATATGTCTCCTGGCTTAGGCTTTTGCTGAAAAGTAAATCACTCCAGGTGTTACACTGAGTTTATCCTCAGCAGACACTGGGGAATGTTATTCCTAGATGTGGCACAGTATTCTAGTAGAAGGGACCAAAAAGCTGCGTGGTGGATACTGAACCTTTCATCATCTGTATCCATGCCCTCTCTGTCCCTTTCGAGCTCCTTTAGTTTCCAATTTCTGCGACGCTGGCGTTTGGAACGGTCATAGCTCTTCTTTATCAATACCTAAGTATAACAACAGCAGCAGCAACATTTACACGTAGGCCTTATACAAAACTGTTCTCTCAAAACCCCAAACGATATTCCAGTTTAAATTCAGAAACCTGTAAAATCAGCTGAATAAATGGCAGAGTCAGCAACTATACCGCTAAACACAAGACAGTAGTATGAGAGAGCAGTAATTCTGCCTTGAGCGCTCCAGAGTGGCCAGTCTGGCACTAAGAAGCTTTTATATACAGTTTATATAGCATTTGTCTATCTAAAAGTTTCCAGACACTTTGGAAATCTATTTTTTAAACACCACACAAAAAATAGATAATGAGAACATAATTCTCAAAATTAGTCTAATTTCAGCATTAGTGTCCCTTTTCTTTTGCAGGAACTACTAAATATTTATTGTAAAGGCAGGAACTGCTAAATATTTATTGTTAACCAATTATCTCTTAATAACCCTGAGTAATGTGTGAAAATTTTATAGAGGAAAAAAATGATCCTACCACATCAGGAATATGGTGTGGGTTCATCTTATTTGCAAACTCATCATTTAAGTTACAATTGGCCAAGTCGAACCTAAAAATGAAAACAGATGCATTATCCTACTCCTTTATGTACACATACAAAACTGAACTTGATGCACTGAATGCTGATGCTGAAGAGTGGACACCATAAATTATAGCTCCTACGAAAATGACCATTTTCAAATAAATTGGAGCAAATTAAAAACCACAGAAGCCATTGTAACTACAACTAAATTGTAAAAGCAGTTCTTACAAATTGTGTTCAGCAGCTTGTCCCACACACCAACCTCCCAGGCCCACCCTGGAGTATCCACAGAGACTCTGCTGGGCTCACAGCAGTCTCAGCAACATTCATGCTTAAGCTCTCTAGTACCAAAAGCTAATTTACTGCACAAACATGCCATGTTTGTCAGTGCTGTTTATGGTATTATTGAACAATATATGCTGTGTTATATTCTCATATTGACTGGTATTTTCAAAATGCCTCCAACTGATTTGCATTAAAACTGTTATTCAAACACGGATTATATAGTCCACTTTAACCCTCTTTTTATTAATAGCCCTTTTCTCAAGTAACTTTTGGCATTATCATGACCAAAATACAAAATACCTACTGCAGGCATGACTCAAGTGCTAAATCTTACAGAGTTACTCATTTACATGGAAGCTTCCACCCCCCTCCTCCCTACAAAATCTTACCCCAAGACAAGGTCCCCAGGATTTAGAATGTGTCCCAAGTGAGTATTGCAGAAATACTGATGATCTGTATCCAACTCTGAAGTTTTCCGTACCCAGGCTTCTGCCAGGGTGTGCTTGAGGAATAAAAAGGAAAATTACATATGTGATCAAATGCAGCACAGCTTGCTGTGCTAGTAAAACATTCATGCTGCTATATTACTGCTTTAAATTACATTTGTAATCAAACTTTTATTTCCTCATCAAGTATCCCAAAATTGCTCACTACTTCCCATTTCTCATCCCTGATGTATGGCTTTTAAGACTGTTTCTATAAACAGACAAAAATACTTGGAAAAGAGCTTTTCCGACAGAAATAGAAAGCTTCAGATAACAAAAACATATATATGATTTTGTAATATAGATGATTCAAAACAGAATTCCTCAAATATAAGGGAACTCTTACTTTGTTTGATCTTGCCCCTGCACCTGCACCCTTTCTCTTCTCTTGAACTCTGTTGATGTCCATAACAATAAACTCCTCCAGCTGCTTCGGATGGAACAAGCTATTGAAAGGGTGACGCCAGTAAGTATTGCCATCAATTTCAGCGACTGAAAAGACACAGGCAATGGTCAGGGTGAGAACTTGTTCAGAGAAATTACGAAAAAACAAAGAAAAACAAACCCACAAACAAGTAAGTATGAGTAAAAATTAAAGCAACTGCCAAATGGACTGGGTTCACATTTGTTATCATAAAACAAGTGTCCTGGACAACATCTGCACTGCAAAGTTTTGCTTCAATAGCTGCTCATCTGTCCATACAAAGCTACATCACTTATGTCTGAAGCACAGTTATCTTTTATTCATAAAAAACGTTCCTCTGGATTTATCAGTGTGCAGACACCTTGTCAACATTGAGTTTTAAAACACAAAAGCAGAAAGTAAAAGCCTCTGCCAGCAGAGAGCCACGCGCAGCCATAGGGCAGGGAAGGATTTCCAACTTACTCTGCAGAGTGCTGGGATCAATGAGGTGGATGGTGCTCGTTACTCTAATGCACACACAGATTTGGTTCATGTTTCCAAGGCTCTGTGCCAGCTTTGGTGACAGACAAACAACATTGTCCTGCATACAAAAAGACAACATTTTACACTCATATTTCCCTAATTTCTAATCAATTTTGGGCAGGAGTTTTAAATTGGTTTTTAAATTCCATCAGATAACCCCTTGTAAGTAAACCCCACCATGAAGATAATTGCTATACGCAGTCCCTTCATGGGCACAAACACACATGCACTGTCTCTCCTCCCCAGACACTAATATTGAGCCTCCATAGTTCAAAAATTTTATAAAGACAAGGAACAATCTCTAAATACCATTACCAAAAACAAACTCTAGCCACTGAATACCCCAAGATGAAATAGAGAGAAGCTACCTTGCATATGGGAACAATTTCCACAGAGAAAGTGCTTTTGTAATTGTAGACATTACTATGGATATCATGTGAGATCAAGCGTTGAGATGATTTTGATCTATAAAGCATAAGTAACAAAGCCTTGAAGCAGTAAGAAAGACATTATTTGAAGCAGAATATAATCATCACAAAATACATCAAAAAAGGTACATAGTTGCGTACCACAAATTTATTAAAGAAATGGCAAAATGTAACAGGATTCCTTTCACAATGGGTACATGGTAAAACACAGGACTTTTGTAGGAAGAGTTTCTGTTTAACTAGAATACAGGTTACTTATACTTTCAGTTGCATATTTAAACAAACAAAGACATTTCCCCAAAGTGTTTGAGCATTCAAGGCAGAAAAAGAAAATATTACATGACATACCTTGCAGGAACTGTACACTGAAGGAAGTCTACCATCTTCTGGGCATGTTGCTTTGAAGAATAGTAAAAATCCAAGCCATCTGAAAGAAAGGAAAGCTTGGTGAAGACAACTATCAGAAATACTGCACTTACACTATGTAGTGTATTTGAAAAGGACAATCTGTCATGAGTCTCTACATAGCTACTGATGCAATCATTCTTCCAATATGAAACAGGCTACTCCTTCTCCTCAAGAATTAAGAAGCCAACTCACTTACCATGGATTTCTTTGATGCGAAGTGTATTTTGATGAAGTCTGTGTTTTAAAATCAGCTGCTCCAAGTAGTAGAAAGTCTTTTTGTGCAAAGTCTAAAAGCAAAACAAGACAAATTTATTCAAGTTATCCTATTTAATCCTAGTTTGAATGGAGTATATGGGGAGAATAAACACTATATGGAAATAGGATCCAGAAAAGTTAACAGTCAAGTCATTTCCAAGTAAACAAGATTTCACAGACATACCCTGTATTTATACTACAATCTATTTAAACCATCTATTTGTTATTTTTATATATATAGTTGCTAGATATTAACATCCTTAAAGAAAATGTAAACATTTATAAACAATCTGTCCTACTGATTCTAACACTCATTTAATGATTTTTTTCTCATCCATTATTTCAAAAGAATATTCTCATACTACTAGATGACAGGAGAGAAGGAAAAAAAAAACTGTAAGCATGCAACTTATTCCTGTGATAGCCTGTATTCACAAGCAGATCTTCTGATGAAATTAGAAAAATATCCAAAGATCTAACTCGTTATGCTATCATGAACTGATGAAGATTAATTTGTCTCTACCTTTTGTCTGACTTGAACTACAGCTTTCCAGAAATCCTTAGCTTCAATTCTGTGACAGTCTTCACACATTTGAGACTGAATCATATATTCCACCAGAAATATTTGCTGAAGAACTGCTCCATTTATCACCTGCAAAAATAAAATTTTAAAGAGTTTTCTCTTTCTTTTCCAGGCATGTCAAAACAAGAATATTTCATGTAGTCATTTTAGCATTCTGAAACAACTTCCATATCATTACTATTTTTAATACATTTACTAGAATTATATGACCCACAGTCATACTCATGACTCAAACATTAGCAGTATTTTCTCCGGGAAACAGTTTCGCAGGGACAACAGATAACCTTGTTCAAACTGTGATGAGCAGCACTCTAATGGCTAAATTTGAGCATAATGAAATCAGTATTCTTTCAAGAACCCCCATCCTTTAAAAAAGAAAAAAAAAAACACAGCTGTATTTGCCCCTTTTTAATCAAAATGCAGAATATTATAATTCAGTTACCTCTTTCTGCACAGTCAGTTTTAGTTTAAGTCTCTTAGAATGTGGTTCAGTCCAAATGAAGCCTGCATCAATGAGCCGGACCTGTCGATGGAAATGAACAAAAACTCAGCTGCTGCCAACAGTTTTCCTAGACTATGTGCTACCAGAAAACATACATTTATGGTACACATCATTCTTCACCCACTAAGGAAGTGAAAAAACTCAAAAAACCCATAAAACCAGAAATTCAGCAATCTGTCAAGCTCAATTAACAGTAATTGTGCTTAACTTGCACATAGACAAGTTGCTGAGTAGCACTTCTCCTTCCCTCTCTTCAAGTCTTAATGTAATTTTTTCAAAAAATTATATTGCTTATGTTAATAACAAACAAAATTAACCAGTACTTTCTAGTTGACTGAATCACCCTTGAGGGAGTTTGCTTTTGGCTGCAGTCAAAACCTACAGTCCAACATGGATCATGGATCAGTTCATGTTTGTGAACTGCTATGTTGAGTGCATAAAACATCCATTTACTTTAATAGAAGAATTTTTCTTTGGGAGGAAAACACTGTTGGAGATGAAATAACTTCCAAGCAAACTTGGACATGAAAAAGATACAAAATTTGGGGATATATTTAAAAACACACTCTACTGCTATTTACTGCTATTTACTAGATGCAGTTGAACTTTTCTAAAACTAGAGCAAAAATAAGATACAAAAATAATGGAAGGAAAACTGGATATAGAAGTCCACTGTGACTTGTATGAGTTGCTAATATGAGCACAGGAAACAAAGATGCACCAAAAATTACTATCATCAAAAAAATAATCTACTTTGTGCATTTTACCATGAAGACGCTTAGAATACATAAACACCGGCCCAATATAAAGAACGTCAACAAGGCAAACTAATACTCTAGCTCTGATTTTCTCCTCTGGTAACATCCTTAACTCAAAAGATACTTTATCCAAACTATAACTTTTGATTCAGTCCTTTGCAAATCCTTTTCGAAACATAGCACACACTAACAACCTTAGGAGAAACAAATTTGAAAACACCTAGAAAGAAAACTGCAAAATTAACTTGCACTAAAAACACCTTAGCTTCCTTCAGTTGATTACACTCAACTCCCATAGAGATTATAACAATTTTGTAGTTTTGTATGCCTTAAAGTCACAGATTTGGACTGCAGTAGCCTCAGGTTGTTTGAAAGTCCTTCAAAATCCTGTAATGACTTGCATGAGATCAGATGGCCATTCCCAAAGCTCAGTATAAATCAGTCAATAAGCTCTATATAAAAACAAGGAGCTATCCCTGCACATCAGTCAGATTTCACTTTATGGAGCACTACCAGAACTCAGTTACTAACCCTGCTAAGTGAAGCTTTGATTTTTTTCAGGCACAAGGCAAGAAGTTCTCTTGATTCTAAGGCACACTGAATCCAGGTTCCTGGAGGCTGAAGATACCTGCAGGGAGAAAAAAAAAATGAGAAACTATAAAACGGCTTCCATAAATTAAAACACTCAAAAGACACGCGCCTATATCACAGAATGGTTGAGGTTGGCAGGGACCTCTAGAGATCATCTAGTCCAACCCCCTGCTCCAGCAGGGACACCCAGAGCACGTGGCCCAGGGTGGCATCCAGGTGGGTTTGGAAGATCTCCAGAGAAGGAGACTCCACAGCCTCCCTGGGCAGTCTGTGCCAGGGCTCTGGCACCCTCACAGTAAAGAAGCTCTTCCTCATATGGAGGTGGAACTGCCTGTGTTTCAACTTAGACCCGTTACCCCTCGTCCTGTCACCAGCCACCATGGAGAAGAGCCTGGCCCCATCCTCCCTACAATCACCCCTCAGGTATTTGGACATGTTGATCAAATCTCCTCTCAGCCTTTTCTTCTCCAGACTCACCAGGGCCAGCTCGCTTAGTCTTTCCTCATATATCAAATGCTCCAGTCCCTTGATCATCTTCGTGGCTCTCTGCTGGACCCTCTCTAGAAGCTCAACGTCCTTCTTGAGCTGGGGAGCCCAGAACTGGCGCAGAGGCGGCCAGGAGCCCTCGCGGCAGCGGGGCACTCACCTCTCACACTGCTTGCAGAAGTGCACGGTGACCTGCTTGGGGATGCCCTCCGTGATGTCCACCTGGCCGCGCAGGCAGCCCACGCACATGTTGGCCGCGTTGGGCGGGATGGGCACGCCGCACTGGCAGCACAGGCTGAGCCGCGACGGGGGAAAACACAGCGAAACGCAGGTTAATACAGGTGTGTCTCATTAAAAGACAAAAACAAGATAAAATAAAAGATAAAAAAGGTAAAATAAAAAGATAAATAAGATAAAATAAGTAAAAAAGGATAAAATACACACAAAAGATAAAATAAAAAGATAAAATAAAAAGATAAAATAAGTAAAAAGATAAATAAAAAGATAAATATTAAATAAAACCGGAACCCCCCTTCCCCGCTTCAAAATGAAACAACCAAACCAACTCGAACCCGCCTCAGAGCGGCCAGCCGGAGGGAAGGCCGCTGCTAACCCAGGGGACACGCGGAGGTTTTAGCTGGAAC